AAATAGTTATAAAGTTACTTTTTTGGTAGCAACTAATGTTTTCTAGCAACTTTCAAATGCTACTTTTTAAGGGGATTTAACTGAATTTTTGCAGATATTTTAACAAGGGTAATTTTTAAGGTGTTACAGCAGTTTCTTATTAATACTAAATGGCAAGAAAAAGTATTATTCTGTTCTGTCTTTTGTAATTTGGCAAATATCTGCAAGGTGTGACATCAACCGAACATCAACTCCCTGTATTTTTCTGGCCAGTTGATAATGAGAACATGAGGCAGTAATAGCATGTAATGCACTTGTGTAATCAGAGCAATGATAGACAGCCTGATCTGCACACCAAAATGGAATAGGCAGCTCCCCAGGTCCAATTTTCAATAAGCAGTCAGCTTTAGAACGGGGTGAAGAAAATTCAGTCTTCCAGATGTTGTTTAACTGCAATTCCTGTCAGCCCTATCTAGCATAATTGATGGCGAGGCATGCCGGGATTTGGAGTGCAGGATCATTGGAGGTCTGACTTTGCTTGTCCCCTGACTTAGAATCTCTCAGCCTTCAGTGAAAGTAACATTTACAACTATGGTTTGTCCCTAATTCTCAAGGATTCTGATCAGTTTCCAGATGTGTTGGTCTACAATTCCCTTTTCCTGGCAGGGACTGACACTGATAGTGGTATTTGACAGCCTTGAGACCAGAAACATCCCAGGAACAGCTGAAATAGCAACAGAGTGCATGTGAGGACTGAAACATGATCTGGTTTTTACTCATATGTACTGTGTGATATCTTCTTAAAGATTTAGGGGATGTTTTGGGAAATTACTTGTAGCCTGGGTGTTTTTTATGTGTGTGTGCACACGCATGCACATGTACACTCATATACATGTGTGTAGTATGGCCTAATGTTTTATATATTATTAAACTTGTAGCATTTGGGATCTGTAAAGAACCCCTAAGATCACAAGCATTAATTATATATGTGTATGTGGATTTTCAGTGAGGTGTAGTGGACAGGGAGATGGACCAGGATTCTGGAGAACAGGGTTTGAATCCCCACTTGGCCATGGAAACTCACTGGGGGACTGGAACTGGTAAAACCACTCCTTAAACATGTCACTTACCTTGAAAGCCCTCTAAGGGCTGCTATAAGTCAATTCTGACTTGGTGGCACAGAATGCACACCACTCACTCACTCACTCACTTTCCCTCTCTCTCTCTCTCTCTCTCTCTCTCACACACACACACACACACACACACACACACACACACACACACACACACAATCAGCATTGTCATAATCTTCCATGAACAATTCTAGATCTCAACAGCATAAAGTGAACAATGGAAAAAGTTGCATTTTCTTCCAGATGCTAGGATTGAAAGGGACAAACAAGACTTTCAGCCTCCTGAATGTTCCCGACCCAAGGTGCCATCACCATATCTATCCTGCATATACCCTACTCTCTATTCCCCTGAGACGGTGGTGAGAGACAGAGCACGATTTCTCACAAAAACCTTAATAGATACAAAAGCAGGCAAATCTCCTAGATGCAAACTGTACGCATTTTCAAACACCTTTGCCCTGTGTGGGGGCGCCATTCCCAAGGTTGCTAAACTGTTGGCTTAATCTACAGTAGAGGGCAAACCCTCCTGGATGACGTCACAGCTGCTTCTGAGGGGCATGACTGTCCACCATTCTTCTTCTTTCTCCTAGGTGCTACAGAGCTTGGATATAGCCTTTCCTTAGGCCAATTATAATGGCATGATGTAACCATTGTCCTATCTGAACTCTGTAACCTATCTGGATACTGTCCACTATCTGTGAGCTTGTAAGGTTAATAAAAGCACAGTCCTCCTGGGGGCAGGGCAGAATTCATTGGGAACCCATTCAGTGTTATTCTGCCTCTTCTACTAGGCCCCCACCAGGAGCACTGCTGGCAGACATCCCTGTGTGTGGCTGACTTCTTTAACTTCTATTTCTAAGAGACTATTTGCTATCCTAATTACACCAGATAATTACAGTATCTCATGATCATCACAAAGCCCATCAGCCTGCTCATTTGTGACTCCAACAGCCCTGGTCCTAGAAATCTACAAGGCAGCAATGGGAAGAGTGAGACTCTGAATAGCTTTGGCAGCAGCAGTCTAAATCAGCCAGAGTTCCTGAATGGTCTAGCTGTACTTTCAAAAGAATGTACTGTACAATTATATATTTGGTTGCATACACATAACATGTCTACTTGCAAAGATAATATGACCAGTTGCAACATTCCAGCAAGTAGTAAAATACAGTTAACGGTCACCAGTTGTTGCCTCTGGTCATTTACTACACATGTTGCTTGCGGCTTTGTACACAATTGGGCACTTTGTGTGCATTTTGACAAATCTGAGGCCATCCCAAGTCAGCTTTGCAAAATGCATTTTCTTTGCTAACTAAATAATTACAGTATAACCAACCCTGCTGTCTTATCTGGCATGGAAAGCAGTAACTTTAAGGACCACAGCCTTATTTTCCAACCAGGCTTCTTCTACCTAACAAACACCCTGGTTTCTAACAATAAAGAGCAGGGCATCATCTCCTTTGATGAGGACCATCCCACTTGATGTACTCTTGGAAGATAACCTTCTGATCTGGGGTTTAATAAAAAGATGGTGTGATGAGGGCTAGGTGGTACAAACTATTCAGAAATTCCCTGGCTGCCTCATTTCCTACAAACTCAGTCTGTGAAAGGAAGTTTCATTTCTTAAATGTGTTGGGCCTGAAGAAATTTTGGCATTTTCAAAAGCCAGTGGCCTTCTCTCTCTCAGTATTAGTTCCATTTGATGTGTTTCCCTTTGCCATCCAGGGAGATATCACCTACCCCTTGCTGTCTTTCTTGCCTGAACAGCTCAATGAACACATTGGGAGTTCAACTCCGCATTGCACATCAGAGGGAAACAGCCGGCCTGTGTAGCCTTGGGCAATCTGCACAGTGCCAACCCTCAGAAGAAGAAAATGGCAGAGCGCTTTTGAATACCTATACCTAAAAACCATGGAAAGGTTCGCCCTGAGTCAGAATTGACTTGACAGTGCATTATTGTTATTTCTATTATTACTATTATTTCTTGCTCCATAGTGGCCTCTGCTGTTTTCCTTTCCACCTTATCCTCACAACACTCCTGCAAGGGAGAGGAGTCTGAAGAAGGACTGACCCAAGCTCTCCCACTGAGTTCCTTGGGTGACTGGGGACTTGAACCTGCCCCATCCAGCTCAGTCTTGCACTGTAAACTCCACCACCATGTTGCACTTAAGCAAACAAAAAACCCAAAGTGTCAAACCTTGAGTGGTGCTTGGGCTGCCTCATACCAAGAGGTCTGAGTTTCTCAATGCAGAGTTTGCCTCCTCACCAACCTTCTCTGAAAATGATAATTAACACCTGCCTGGCTGGTTGCAACCAATTCATCGTTTATTGCAAGGGAAGGATTAAAGGTAGTTTCTGGAGATGTCAGACCATATCTTCTTCCTGCCCGCATCTTCCCAGAATTTCTTGGAACAGCCTGGAATTGAAATGACACCCCAGTAAGGGAGGATAAAAGGGCGCCAAGCAGAGAGCAAGGCTGCTAGGTTAGCAGTTACTTTAACAGTGCTCCGTGTTTAGCAGCATGAATAGAAGGGAAGAGATGCAGAGATTTGTGTGCTGTCCAGAGGCCCACTATCCTCTAATTTGCATGGGGTGTGTGCGTGTGTGTGTGTGTGGAGAGCTGTCTGCATTTAGTCACTTTTGTACCGGCCTATGCCACCCGGGGGGCTCGCCAGCCGCCCGAGGGGCCTCAAGAGGGGGAAAGGCGGGAGAAATGCACTGTTCCGTCCGAGGCGGATACAGGCGTCGGAACAAGCAGGCGCCGGGGTTTAAATCGCCCTCTTCTGACAGACAACGAGGACGGGGGGAGAGAGAGACAGAGAAAAAGAGAGAAAAAGGGGGGGGTTGGTGACTGGATCCGCCCGATTCTCAAATCCTCGGAAGCGCCAATCCCAGCCCCACCCCCCGGCCCTCGTCCCCCAATGGCACCGACAGTTAGGGCCACGGCGAGGCAGAGGCAACGGTTTGGGGGGGGGGGGGGGGAGAGAGAGAAGCAGCGGCGGGAAGGCGCGCCGCCCCGCCCGGGGCCAGTCCTTGCGCGGAACTCCCTTCACAAAGTCACGACCCCAAACTCTCCAGCCCTGGGTGCTTTTCGGCGGGCCGCTGTGGCTCGCCGGTGAGCACTTCCCAGCGCATTGCTCCCCCCACAGGCAAAACTTTCTCTTCACACGCGCGCACACACTCACACATGTACACACATACACACGCACTGACGTCTTTTGCGCATTTCCTGCATTAGGGAGACCGAGCGAGCAAGAGAGAGCGAGAGAGCGGGAGAGAGCGAGAGGTGGGGTCGGGCTGCCTCCGAGGCCAGGCATCAGGCAAGGGAGCCCAAAGCCCCACCAGTCAGCCCCGGACGCGCGGGGAGGAGGGATCGAGGACGAGCGCTGTTCTCCGGGGCGGAGTGTTCCCAAACACGGACCTTTCTTCTTCTGCTGCTGCTGCTGCTTCTGATTATTATTATTTTCATTATTATTATTACTATTATTATTATTATTAAATAACTCTCCCTGCAAGATCCCGGAGCAGTTTCTCCTCATGCATTGGATTCGATCCACTGGATCCTTGGCCTTGGAGGCGGAGAAGGAGGAGAAGGCGGTGACGGCGGCGGCGGCGGCGGCGAGGAAGCGGCTGCAGCAGCC